GAGATACTGTTGATCGCCGATTACGATCGATCGATCGATCGATCGTTTCACGGTGCAGCGCATTTAAATCGGTGGATTCGAGGTCGTCTGGTCTGTGAGCGCAGGTCTGCAATCCGGATAGACTCGCACGGTGCAGCGACGCCGAACGTCTAAAATTCACCTCGAGCCCCCGCTATCGCTTTCGATTAATGCGTTGCTCGTCACCGACATTAGTCACCTCGAAGGCGGTCGATTCCTGTCCGAGCTTATTTTGCGCGTTGATGCCAAGGTTGTCCGGTTCTTCCGTCGACGATAAAAAAAAAAAATAGTAGGATACCTCGATCGAAAATGCGATCACAGATCGCACGAAATTAACGTCTCGTGGCTGATCCAGTTTCTCTGATACGACGGAAACAACGTACCGCGACCGATCTTGCGGTTTCATCGAAGCGCAAACAGTGCGCCATCATCCTCGAAACGATGTACATATAGGAAACCTAACCCGCTAGCTCACAACCTCTGATATTCGAGATTCTATCGACTCGAACAGTTCCTGCTATGTGTAGCTGAATTTGACAGCAGAGGATCGCAACGAGTGCGTGTAACTTTTTTCTAATGAGGCAAAGGTCATTTCCGGCCACATGGAAAGCGGAAACGCAGCGCGTGTTCGTCTGTATCCGGTGACTGCATTGACTTCTATGCTACCTCGGTAGCACCGAACCTACGTACGTGCGTAAAAGTTGTTGCCACCTTTGTTTACTTATGTATGCAAAGGTTTTCTTGGAAATTAACGTTATCTTCGCTTTTCTTGTTGCACGTACGATCAAGTTGAACGACACGTCTGACTACATTGTCTCATAACAGGTGTATGTTGTGAAACATGATCGGCAACTATGATCGCAGAACATTTTACGTTTCTTCTGAAATTTATGGAATATATATTTTTCTCGCTGTTAAATGCCATATGATTTCCACGAGAACCTATAGACATCCCTGTTTGACAGGATCAAAGGATGAGGATAAAGCAATAGGAGCCTCGTGTGTTCGCCAACCAGTAGATATCGGCCGATTCACGTGGGAAGATAGTCACGTGGGTGAATTTCTCCAAAGGTCTTAGGTCAACCGTTTCGTACAAATCTACGAGTCTTCGCTTCAGTCGCTAACGCGACCACCAGATAATTACAGCTCTTGTGGCATCTGCTTTTGCGTAATATCGTGGATCGAAGTTCTTAATGATATCAAGGTATCTAAATAAATTCATGATTATTACTTCGAGTTACTCGATGCGTTTGTTAGTTGAGGTTACCAACGATTTAAGAGCGAAATGATCGTGAAGTTCACACTTTCCTGTATTTCCAATAAAGTTCGCCTATAAACGTTACAAAATTGTATACCTTTTATTATATAAATTAATATTACAGTGGTAGCGATTAACGCAATTAGGAAGGATTATGATCGACAAGATCATCAAGACTCGTTGAAATACACGCGAGAGAGACGATACACGGAAATTTGCAACTAATTACTCGCGATCTAGCGATACGACTGCGGCATAAAGTGAAAGTGATTTCACGCATAGAATGGGAATACGTGACAAATTAACTAGACTGAGATCTATCGATAGGCAACGACCACGCGAATATTATCGTCATAGCCACGGGGTCGATTAAATTTTTAAATAGTAGTAGAGTAAATTTTATTTGTACTGCGTGAAAGAACTTTGATTACGAGAAATATCTGATCGTTGATTCTCTTGAGACTGAAGTATATTTTCCGAGAGATTCCCAATTCGCTTTTTCTTGTCTACTGAATCGACAACGAGTTGCCTATTAAGGAATTTCCGCCATAAAATGCAATGAAAAATTCCTCTGCAATTATCGCGCCAAAAATTATAGTGTATTTTTTCGAGTAGCAATACCAGACAACTGAAAATTGCTCCACCAGCCAGAAGTGATAAAAGAGGCGCGATTCCATGCAAATTAACAGTAACGTTCCCTTTCTCGAGAGAATCTCCAGTTACCAGAAACGTATTCTTCAATCTGGCCAGTACTCCGTTATCTTTGAATTGTTGTAGACTACAAATATTTAAAACAAGCGTTGGCATAACTTCAAGTAAAATTAATAACGATAAAAGTAAAATAAACATATATATTTACTAATAATTCACCACTCCTGTATATTGACCGTGTTTCTGCAAAACTAGAGCCAAACTGTCGACCCTATCCGCATCGATAAACGAAGTTTCACACGGTATATTGATGGCGTTCTTTATCGCTTCGGTTATGTAGAACCCCACTTTTTCGTTACATACCTATGATAGTTAATTCTAAATTTGAACTATAGTTACTTTGAATTCAAAGCGAAAATTTATGAAAATACAGGTGTTCGAAGATAGAACATTGAACTTGGAGACAAACCTGTAGAAAGCCATCGTGAGCCGTCAAAGGCAAATCTTCCTTGTCCTTTATCAATTTCTTCACCTTCTCGAATAAAGTGCTGTTAGCAGCCTGAAATTGTATCTGCTGTATTACTCGTTCGACATTATTTCTTTATACAACCGTGTGCTACATATCTTACAATTAACATGTCGTAATCCGCACTGTTTCTGAATGTAATTAATTTGTACGACCCATAATTAGCGAACTCTTCCATAGTGGAGAAAGGCAAAGTAACCGTAGAAACTGTCAAAAAACTGGTCAGCGAGGCGGAGTAAGCGGATAGAATGATCAACGACGACAAGAAAATCGATAGGAAAGCCAATCTCATCGAGAACTTGGTTGGAAATTCTGAAAGAGAGAGGTTTCGTGCGAGAATATTCCACCTCGTATCTCTGTGTTGCAATTACCTGACAAGCCTTGCTGACAATAAATCCCCCAAACGTATATGTAATTATCTGCCAGAATTCTCATCACGATACGACCTCTCGTCTTCATGAGAGTCAAAAAGATTGGAGCAGTCACGATCACGAATATTATCATCGACCAGACGTCTGCTTTGAATGTCTGAAAACAGGAATCCATTATCGCGATGTCGACGATTCGTGAAAATCGATGCGCGTCAGAGAAATATATATAAAAAAAAAAAATAAAATAAACTAGCACCGATTCTCGTATGGTAATCGCGCGCTAGAAGCGAAAGGATAAAATATTCCGTTAAGAAAGAGAACCTTAAAGTAGGCGGACCATTGTACATATGCGCCATCAGGTTTTTTAAAGTATATTCTATTGCGAGACAAAATTAGCGGCAAGGTAAAGTCAACTACGTCCAGCCTATGATTAGTCATGCTGAACTCTGCGACGCCGAAGTCAGCTCTGTCCGACGCTACTTCGCCTACCACCCCTGTCCAGGTATTATCGTCCTTGTTCAAATCACCATATATCAGCATCGAGCTTGTCACTTCGATCTTGAAATTCATCGATTTACTTAGCTCTTTGATCAATTTGCCGAAGAAGTGCGAAAGAATTCCGTTCTTTATCTCGACGAACGGAGACTCCTTGAATTCGAATCAATCGTAATTTTCAAACAAAATATAATGATTCTCTGGAGACACTAAATATTCATTCGCGTTTGTCGTAACATTCACCTGGACGATCGATATACGCATCGTTTGCCCAAACATGTTGTTTCTCCTCGCATACAAGGAACTTGTTGTCTTGAGTTTCAGACCTTGTCCAGTTTGCCAGGTAGCCAAGTTGAAGACTCTTGTTTGATTATCGCGTAACGCGTACCACTCTGTTAAGAGCGGCAGATCGTAACAGAGCACCAGCATCTCCGTGTTGAACATCAGATTGAACGGGTTTCCGACAGGATTTTGACAAATGTCTCGCATGGGATTTCCCCGATACGGTAGAAACATCAACAACCAAACGGATGAAGACATATCGATCTGTCTGGTGGCCATCGAAAATTCATCCATGGTCTCTTTTGTAGCAAGAGCGACGACGTACAACGGGCGCGTCAAGTAGCCTTGGAATTTTCTAGCCTCGCGTGACAGTTGAGAAAAGCTTACGATCATGGTCAAGATGCCTCGCTGTGAGAAAGCCCGTAACCATATATAAGCCAAGGACGTTTGATTGAAGTCTGAAACGATAATTATTCGCGCTCGTCTCTTCTTATGAATTAACAAACCGAGGAAGAAAGTATTTTAAGCGAGAGACATAACGGCTCGATATTGACTGCGCATTTCAAGCTAATTAATTCGTGAAACAGTTAAGTCTACCACTTTCACACATACGATTTTCGAGAAGAGTGAACAAGACTTACTGGTATGGCTGTTTGAACACACGATTATGATGCAGGATGTTTTGTAATAATTGTGAATGTCCTTAATTAAGAGAACATATTTGTAAGCGTCATTTATATCCACCGAGAACGCTGAAACGGACAGAAGCAGCAGTATGATGATCGCGTAACGAGTCATTCGTGTCATCTCGCAACAAAAACACCTGGTTAATCCGTTGAATTACCACGGGTCAGCGGTAAAATCCCTTTTAATGACAGTTAAGACACGCGGTCACTTCGTTAATGTTATCCAATGAATCTCCTTTAACATCGATATGTATTCTCACCAACGTGTTTGCAAATTTTAACAACAACAAACTCGATCATATCCTTCTCCTTTTTGCTATTCCCAACCGCTTCTGATGGTAACTAACTGAACTAAAAATGTGGAGAAACCGTAACCGCAGGTCATACTGGGATTTATCGAATTTACAGATCTGAGGATGAGGATAGTATCTCGTTAGAAACGTAATGGCCCACGGTACGCATCAACCGTGCAATCGAACAGATTACGTACAAAGTGCAAAGATTAACGTCGATAAGAACATGTATTTATACACGTGCATTATCGGATTTATCGTATTTTTATCGGAATATACATGAGATGTGATTTAGTAGAGTTTTTATAATGTGACATTTTGTTCGTTTATAGTTATTCTACTGCTTTTATACTACTTTAAATTAGAAGAAAATCAAATTGAAGAGAATCACACACTAAATGCTTACATGTTAAAATTGCGTTGAATCTTTGATACACACATATTGACGAATTTACCTTTTGTTAATTGGACGATTGAATTATTGAGAATTTCGGTACCTATTGCAATACATCTCTATGATTAATATAATAAGGGCTAGTGAAACACCACAGAAAAAGATTATTAACACAGATGCCACGCTATAAAATCCAACCGGCTGAAATGTGTTCTTCTTCGTGAAAAACACTTCGTTCTTAAACCGGTTCAGTAGACCAGTGTTCAGAAGTTTCTGCACACTGCAACATTACGATGAATATTTTAGTTACGAACAGAAAGATACATCAAATTCTCTTATTCACAGCTCGTCGACATTTATAATATATCTATCGATACCAACTAGTAATTCAAGATCGAGGTGTATTGGCTATTTTTCGGAAGGATTAGGGACAAACTATCCACTCGGCCAGTGTCAATGCAGACGATATCGCAAGGAATATGAAAATTCGATATTCCCTGCATTTTTTTACCATAACCGCTGTAGTACACTAATGTAGGATCGTCGCAGATCTGAAAACGTATAAGGTAGTTGCAGAAATTCCACTCGACGTGTTATCAAATCGTGCCCATAGAAGCAACCTTACCCTTTGAAATCCATCTTCTATGGTGATTGGTAGAGTATGTATCGGCCTTAGTTTAGCCATCATGTGTACCGAAACGGGGTCTTTCGATAGCTGAAAAGCAAATTATATTTTTGTATAGCATGACGTCGTTAGAAACCACCTATCTATATATACAATGTTTCGCGTTTTGTTCGTAGTTCGTTCAGAAAACCATACTTTTCTCATCTGTTGCGTTATGTCGATCGTTCATATTACGCCACATAACGTTTGTGATGTAATGTCTCAACGTTCGAGTAAAAGTGAAAGCATATCGTATGAAAATTCTTCGTTATTGGACAAACTTACGGCGAACATATCGTAATCTGCGGAATCTTTATTGAGGATTACATCGTATGTACCATCATTCACAAACTCCTCGATCGAGCGGAAGGGTAGATTATGAACGTAAGCTGTTACATAGGATATCATAGACGCGGAATAAGCGGCGAATATCACTATACCGGTAACAAGTACGGTAAAGTATGCTAACCTTAGCGACGAATACCGTGGAAATTCTGAAAAAAGAAATAGTATTAGGTGCTTGATTTTTCATGTAAAAGATAGAAGATCATTGAAGCGGTAAAACTCTGAAATCCAATGATTCACCTTCTGTAATGCCTTGCTGGCAGAATATACCCCAAATTCGAATAAATTCATGGTATAATTCCATGGTTAGATCAGTGGATTCTATTCGAGATCTTATAAAAGCCAAAGTAAACTGAGCAATTATAATCGTCATGAGTAGAGATATCCAGAGCGCGAAACTGTATGCCTAAAAATAAGTGTTAACCGTTTCGTAAATATCAAAACTACATAAGTGTAGCTTTGTAACATACATACACATATATACATACATACCTTGTAATAAGCAAGCCATTTCACCGCTGACATTTCTGGTTGCTTAAAATACAAACAGTCTCTGGTAGTTATAATAGGAACCGTATAATCGACGTAATCAAGCCTAAAATTTGTCATCGAAAAATCGGACAATCCGATATCTACTTCTCCAGAAGCCACTAAACGAAATGCCCCATTCCAACATTTCGTCGTCACATTGAAACTCCCAAACTCGAGTTCCTCGGTCACGATATCAAGAGTGAAATTTAGATACTTTTCAAGCTCGTTGACCGCTCTACTAAAATATCCTTCCAACTTGTCACCTTTTTTCGCGAATATCGAGTTCTGCAGCAGACAAACGAAAATTGTACGTGTTAAAGCTCTGATGACTCCACGTGAATCGTTACGCGTGAATGTCTGAATCTTTGCCTTGATGGTGACAGCTCGCAGAACTTTTCCTTTCAGGTCATTCCTCCTCTCGTGCAGAGTCAAGTTGGACAACAAGTCAACAACTGCTGTTGGGGACTTCAATTGTTTCTTTGGATACCACTTGACTAAATCGGAAATGACGGTGTTGTTCCCATCCACGGAATACCATTCACGAAGAACAGGGTCACCGGCACACATTACCAACATTTCAGTGTCGTATAACAAATTAAATGGATTTCCCGGCGGATTGTAACAATAGTTTTCCGCGTGCGTCGCCGTAGGCACGAATATCACAAACCATGCAAAATGGGATATTCTAAAGGATTCCGAATACTTTGAAAATTCAAAAACTGCGTCAGATCCGGATAAAAAAACGATGGCCAACGGTCGGAGGGTATTATTTCTATCTAGCACGTGAATGTTCTTGAATGTGCTACTTAAAGTTGCAATTTGTTCACGATGAAGAAGACGAGACCATGTGTGTGATAAATATGTTAGTTTCCAAACTAAACAATGTAAAAATACGCAAATGTATTGTATTTCTAGTTATCATATTATGAATGAATTTTTTATGCGGAAATATTTGAAAATCATACCATCGAAATTTTTATCCTCGCTAGACGAATGCAACAAAAAGACAGCAGAAGCCGAATAGTAGCTGCGAATCCATTTTATTAAAGGAATGTACAGCGTTTCGTTATTGTACGTTTCAGTTGCCGTTAAATGAAAAAAGATAGAAATAACATTTAAATACATTACAATTTTCATTCCGTTCAAATTGATTGTCTCTTTCCTTCTTTCTAGAACGTCGCGAATAGTGCACGCGTATATCACGCAGAAAGACAATATGTTGTCGAGAACATTCAGAAGACTACGAGAATCGTTAATAACTGAATTCTCGTGAGTAGATGCTAGTAGTTTTATCCAAGGGTGAACATTAAATATTTACGAAATGTTCGTGCAAACTTTTGACGTGAAAAATGCAAGTTTTTAAAAATACGATCACGTTAGCTACGATAGTAATCCATTAAACCATAGAATGTAACAATATTATTGTCAATTATTATAGCGACAATGTAAATGATGATACATGATAGGCTAAATGCGAACAAGGAATAGAAGAGATAATAATATTGTTTTCATATTTGATACATTTAAAAACTTTAATTAATTAATACTAAAAATTATAAAGACCGATTAAAATATTGAGAGAATATTTATAACGAACAGAATGCTAAATCAATTAATGAAAAATTGTCAACTAAGCAACTTTAAACGATTCAAGTCTTGCTTGTCTATTATATGTAAAGTCCATTTCAATGTGTCATAACATTAGGTAGATGATATATATCGATCTACATTCCATTAGCAAATTACATTTTAACAGGAAGTTTTAGTGATTAATCTCTATTTTCACTCATAAACGAAACGTATACATATGTAGGTAATTTATATAATAGTCGTTATTAATGCATAAATTTCGAATTATTTTCCGCCACATTTTCGTTAACATACAATGAAAAAGAAAAAATAACGGAAATGAAGGAATATTTTTCTAAAATTGAGAAAATCATTAGGGAAAGCCATGAAACTAGAAACTAGAAATACTCTTTGCTAGAAACTAACATAAAAATTGCGGAAGAATAAATTATTAGAATATATTTATTATTTTTATTATCACAGTTTATTATCTGAATAATAGAATGTTTTCATAATTCTTATCATAATTATTCACAATGTGTGCCCATAGAGCTTGCTCTATATGTATGTCAATCAGCCATTTCAATTATAAATTGGTTAAATATTAAATAAATTTTAAAAAATTAAAAAATGTCAAAGTATTCCGAGTCATCTGATGCAATAATAGGGAAGTAATGATATAAACTGAATCGTAAAAGTCATGAATCATCGTTTCTACGCCTGTCACGTGATTGTCAAATCTTGCTTCTCATTCAAAAATGGCGCCGTTCAAATTTCAACAAAAATTCATTATTGATTCGTACTGGTAAGTTTTATAAACACAATATTACCTGTGCTTAACAATAGATGATCAAAGTACGGAAGGGCAGAGTTATTCAATTATATTGTTAAAATGTAATTATAAAATCGTAAAATAAAAAACTACTGAGTTATCGGAAACGCCATTTTGTGAAATTGATCGAACTCTGCACAGGAAGTTTAACAGGCGCACGTATATAAGCGTCGTAATTCGTAATAGAATCATCTGGACATTGGAAATACGACAGTGAAGTTTGACAAGAAAACTTGTGTATCGTGTAAAATAAATAGTTTTTGTGGATTTTTACGAATACATATTCACATTTTATTCCCAATTGAGCAATATAGATAAATATCCAATAATGTATAAAGTATATTTGCAAAATAACGACTCTTCTGTCAAAGCAATTCGAAAGTTTGGTTTTCAGTCTAGTTCAGGAATTCAGAATATTCGGTCTAATCGTCTGCCTAATCATTATGGCATTCGGGCTGATTGCCAGCTTAATTTTAATGAGTTTTGCCAAAAAGTCATATCGATATTCCCAGAATTATCTGGTAAAGAGTTCACCGTTTCTTGGAAAGGTAATTATTATATATAAATATAATTACGTCATTTTATTTATTCTTTATAAATTCAGTAATAAAATCGTTCATTTTTTTATTTTAATTCTCAAATAATTCTAAGTGAAAACTTTCACTAAACAGACATAATGCAATTTAAATCATAAACAATGATCATATGTATGTACATATTACAGATGCTGACGGTGATCAAATCTTAATATCGTCTGATGAAGAATTACAAATCGCTGAGGAAGAAATGAGGCAGCCTAAGAAAATATATATCAAACCTTTTTCATCTGAGCAAAAAGCATCAAGTCCTGAGAAAGAAAAAACAGTACATTTTGGTGTATATTGTGATGGTTGTGATAAAGACATAACTGGATTTAGATACAAATGTATTCAATGTGAAGATTATGATTTATGTGCACAATGTGAGACAACACAGATACATTCACATCATTATATGATCCGTATGCCACAACCATTAGAATCGCATCATACTAGAAGTTTGTTTCACCATTTAAGAAAAATTCTAAAAAAGAATGGTGTGTATTTTAATAAAAAACATACTTCTGATGAAAATAAATCCCAAAGTAATCATTGTAACATTTATCCTTGGTTGGGAATTTATGCACCATATTTAAATAGTTTTATTGATACACTATTAGAAGCACATACTGTTGATCCAGAATCTTCTAAGGTAATACTACACTAAAAAATTCAAAGCTGATAAAATTTACAAAAATAATATAAATTTGTTCTGATTCTAATTGTTCATATATTTCACAGAGTCACAAACCTGAAGAAAGGAAAGAATCTAAAGATGATACATGTATGGATGAAAATAATTCCAGAAAATTTCCTGGTGAAGGAAGGAAGTTACTTGATAATGCAAAGGGTGACAAAGAATCAGTGTCAGATGTTGCATCAACAGCAAGTCAAGATAGTGCTACTACAAAGGTAGCAGCAGATGAATGGACTTTTATAGATAAAAATGACACTACTGAAGTTAATCAAACATCTTCAGCTTCATCCAATATGAATGGAATTGGTACGAAACAGGTAAAATATTATAAACAATTGAAACTAATGTAAGTTGTATTATGGAAAGGTTTTCATGTTTAAAAATTATATTTGTATTATTGCTATAAGACTTGTTCCTCTTCAACGGCACCACCATTAGCATCACAGGGATCTTCAGCTGAAACACTTTACCCTGAATTACCAAGAGAAACAAATTACCAAGAAATATATCATGAAAATCCAACAGTTAATGAAGCTGTTAAAACTATGATAAAGATGGGATTCTCAAATCAAAGTGGATTATTGACTTATTTGTTGGGTGTTGAAGATGGTAATATTGATAACGTCTTAGAGATATTGCAACCTACAAATAAATGAATATGAAGTTTGACATTTAATGAAATTTTGTCATTATATCACTATAGCTTATGACATATAGTTCATATATATATGGTACATATTTTTTCTGTTGCAAAATAAAAATAGAATGTAGTATTATGTAATGTATACTATTGTTACAGATATTACATTCCTCCCTACTTAATGTATTCATGTTAATAAAGTAGCATGTAAAGATGATCAAACATGAATTTTTATTGTAGTTAAAAATATTAGACTAAAATGTTATTAATTAAATAAAAACCATAAACATATATATATGTATATATATATATGTGTGTGTGTATATGTATAAAAAAAACAATACGAAGTAATTAATCAATTTCTGAATAACAATATTTATTTGTATATAACGTGATTTTAATATAATGGTTTACAAAGTGTCCAAAGCGTGAATGGATTTTTATTGGATAGTAATTCCAATTCTTTTTGTCCTTGAGGACTAACATTTCTGATCCATTTTCGATCTTTATAATATTTTAGGATAGTGTCTAATTCTTCTACTGAATACTCGTCGACGCAAATGGGAAGAAAGGGATCTAAATGTTCAAACCCTTTCTTACCAAGTAAATATGTTGGATAATCAGAATCTCTTTTATCCTGTAAATAAAAAATATAAAATATCCATTATAGTTTTTGATAATAGTAGTTTTGTTTTAAACCATATTACACAAATTGTTGCATACTCTGTTTGCTCTTTTATCTACTGTTAATACTGCAGCACCATTACACCAATTGTAGTTTACGCTACTTAAAAATGCAGATGTTATCGATATCTTATCAGGTGGTACATATACACGATTTTCATCACATACATGTGTAATGTCGGATGTAAGAGCGTTAAAACCATCTATAACAACTAATGTTTTACATTTTCCTGCTGTGCTGGCTATTTTGAGCTCATCCACCAAAGCATTAATAACACCACAAGCAAATTTAGTTCTCTGTATCCCAAATTCAATAAGATTAGAAAGTGAATCTCCAGGTTTCGTAACTTCTCTTTGGGACCATGTATATTCCTTAGTGGTCTTCAACTATAAATTAATTACTTGAATTCTATATAATAAAAATAGGTCTCACTTGTTACTTACATCAAGCTGTGATAATGACACATTGTTTAACTGTTTTATATACTTTAACCATTTTGTTGCAGATTCTGGTAAGTCTAATTTATCTGATTCCAGAGGAGATGCAGTAGTGTCCCTAGCATATCGAAACCAATTTCGAACTAAAAATGTAAAAGTAAATTTATGAGTGTATATTTTAAAAATCATGTACTATTCAATATAATTCATATCATACCCCATGGTAAGTGAAGTACAAAAAAACATTTTGTAAGACCATAATGAACCAAATGTAATAATATTGTTGTTTTTCCTGCTCCACTTTTACCATCTAATAGGTAGTGAAAATACAGTTGCATATAGTTACATCATAAATTCTTCTTAGTTACTGTTAAGTTACAGTTAACTGAATAAATATCATAAACCACACATAATTGTCAAATTCAAAAGGATACAAAGAACATATTTATTTATAGGCTTCGTATAATCAGTTTGTTCCAAGTATGATATCACTTCAACTGCAGGTTGCCTAACTAAAATACCAAGTTCTCTAAAAATTTGTACTTGCTTTTTTAATTCAATTGACATGTCTGCCATTAATGATGTTGTAATATCTGAAGGAACCGTATAAATACGATTTAAACAACTTGCATCGTGTTCTGCAGGGTTAGATTCCGAAATACGAAACGATGGAATATTTGTCTGATCCGCTACATCTTT